GGACTGTTACAATTAGAAGACGTCTATGTGAAGCCAAGCTATCTGCAAGAAGTCCCCGCAAAGTCCCACTGTTGGGAAAAAAGACGTGTGCTGAAGAGGTTACAATCTGCCAAAGAGCACATTGACCGGCCTAAAGAGAAATGGCGGAACATTTTGTGGGCTGATGAAAGTAAGATTGTCTCTTTTTGGGTCTAGTAGGCGGAGACAGTTTGTCAGAGACGACCCCCCCCAAACACTGAATTCAAGCCACAGTACACTGTGAAGACCGTGAAAGCATGGTGGTGCAAGCATCATGATATGGGGATGTTTCTCATACTACGGGGTGTTGGGCCTCCTATTTATCACATACCAGGGATCATGGATCAGTTTGAATCATCAGAATACTTGAAGAGGTCATGCTGCCTTATGCTGAAGAGGAAATGCCCTTGAAATGGGGTTCCCAACAAGACAACGACCCCAAACACACCAGTAAACGTGCAACATCTTGGTTCCAGACCAACAAGATGGGACATTATTGGAGTGGCCAGCCCAATCCCCGGATCTTCATCCAATAGAAAAACTTGTGGGGTGACATCAAAAATGCCGTTTCTGAGGCAAAACCAAGAAATAGAGAAGAACTGTGGAATGTGTTCCAATCATCCTGGGCTGGAATACCTGATCACAGGGGCCAGAAGTTGGGTGACTCCATGCACACACAGATGTACAGCAGTTCTCAGAAACAGTGCGACTACAACCAAATATTCATGAAGTCATTCAAAGGAAAGCAAAATCTTCAAACATTTCTCAGTAGTTATATAGTGAATGTTTGAGTTTGTAAAGAAGAATACAAAACACTGCCATTTTTTTGAACCGTCTAATATTCACTTTTCTTCAATATTTTTAGAGGAACAACACAAATTTTATATATATATAAATTATTCACTTTGTCACTTTATGGACTCATATATGTCATAACCTATGGTCATCTTTATATATGCACTTACATCACTTTTACATATTATTTTGATATAGTGATATATTAATTTTTGCTGGTTTATTATATTTCATTATTGCATTTGCACCTTTTGATTCTTTGCACTTTATTTTATATTGATCTCAGGTCTGCACCTGTATCTTACCACATACTCAGATGCGGCGAAATCCTGCTCAGTGATTTGTCCCTCTGTTTGAAGCTCATGGTCGAATGTTCAACCGCGAACCGAACAGGTGGGTGTTCAACCATCACTAGTGCTGGGGAATTTGTGTTCCTGTTTGTGTCGGTCTATTCCTTTAAACCCCCATGCACTTTTTTTTCCGTGTGCTGTGGTATCACGGTTCACTTTTTTGTTTATAAGTTTTGACAAGTACTGCTACCGCAGAGCTCCGAAAATGACCTGTCACAGGCCGGCAGTTCTGGGTGGAAGAAAAGTCCTTTTAATGATTTTATGGATGGTTTATTTTACATAGAACCAGATCACATTAATGTTGACATATGACATTGGTATTTGTATTCTAATGCTTCCTAAACTTGGAAATGATAGAAGGGGTTTGCTTACAATGATCAAGTTCTTTGCATTCAGTCTATCATGAATGTCAACTGCCAGACTCATCCACCTTTACTAATCCGTTCACATATCTGCCATCCCTCTCTGCCAATCCCTCCACTGACCTCCACTCTGTGTCCTCCCTTCCCTCTCTGCCAATCCCTCACTGGCATCCTCTCAGTGTCCTCCTTCCCTCTCTGCCAATTCCCTCCCACTGGCCTCCACTCAGTGTCCTCATCCTCTCTGCCAATCCCTCCACTGGCCTCACTCTCAGTGTCTTCCATCCCTCTCTGCCAATCCCTCCACTGGCTCCTCACTCAGTGTCTCCATCCTCTCTGCCAATCTCCTCCACTGGCCTCCACTTGTGTGTCCTCGCCATCACCCACTCTCTGCCAATCCCTCCACTGGCCTCCACTCAGTGTCCTCCATCCCTCTCTCTGCCCCAATCCCTTCACTGGCCTCCACTCAGTGTCCTCCATCCCTCTCTGCCAATCCCTCATGGCCTCCACTCAGTGTCCTCCACCCTCTCTGCCAATACCCTCCACTGGCCTCCCACTCAAGTGTCCTCCCCCTCTCAGCCAATCCCTCCACTGGCCTCCACTCAGATGTCCTCCACCACCTCCTCTCTGCCAATCCCTCCACGAGCCTCCACTCTGTGTCTTCCTCACCTCTCACGCGCCACTCTCTGCTCAATCGACCACATTGCGCCTCACACTCTAGTGAATCCTCTACCTCCCTCTCAGCCAATCCCTTCCCACTGGCTCCCATTGCCCAGTATGTGAATAAAATTCGAAAAACAACCATTAACATATTAAATCCATTTATAAACTGCCGCCCAAAAGTTACATCACCAATCTTGTCTCCAAATATCACCACAAAAAACGTCGTCCCTCTATGCTCTTTCGCACGACACCTCCTGCTCTCTAGGCTCCTTGTCTCCTCTCCCATGCTCGTCTTCAGGATCTTCTCCAGAGCCTCTCCCATCCTTCTGGAACTATCTACCCCAATTTACATCAGACTATCGCCTATTTGCTCACCTTTTAGGCGATCTCTGAAAACCTATATCTCTTCAGGGAAGCCTATCCTGCCTCAGCTAGTACTGGAATCTTCTATTCCTCTGGAAATCTTCTACCAGTCCATCCCCACAGTTATTACCTTTTGTACCACTAGCCCTCCTCTTAGATTGTAAGCTCCCAGGATCAGGCCCTATCACTATCTCTTGTATTGAACTGTATTCTGCTGTTATTGTCTCCCGTTAAATATTGTAAAGCGGCCTGAGACAAACTGTTGGTGCCATAAATCCTGTATAATAATAATAATATACTAAATCCTTATAATAATAATATATAAATCCTGTATAATAATATAAAAAAATCCATGTCGAAAATTATATAATATATAAATCCTGTATAATAATAATATCAATTACCCCCCTCCCTCTGTGGGGCATCAATCTACAACATGGCAAAATGGTGTTAGAGGGCAAGTTAGTGGACTTCATGAAAATGTACAAATACTATGCTGCTATGCTCTGATTTGATGGGGGTTGGTGGGTGTTGGGAAGGCTGGGGGTGGGTGTTGGGTGTTGGAGGTTGGAGGGGGGGGGGTGTTGGAAGGTTGGCCGGGGGGGGGGGGGAATTGGGTGTTGGAGGTTGGCGTGGGGGGCAATGAAGAGATTTTTATTTGCTAGAGATTCATATGAGAGGGTCTTATTTTGTCACTCTGAGATGGACAATTTCAGGAACAATGATCTGTGATTCTGTACCAAATGTTCCTGACTGCAGAATTCAGCATAAAAAACCAAATTAAATGAACTAATCATGGACCCCAGCCAGAAGGGATGATGAACCCGTGCGGGGGGGGAGTCGTATGTGTCGGCGGTAATCCGTGCGCTCTTCTTTTCCGGAAATGAGTGTGAGACGAGTCACTGGACTAACGGGTGGGAAACCATTGGGTCACATTAAACAATTGCCACCCAGAATCCACCCATAATAAACACAACAGTCCTCTTTGGCCGCTTCATGAAGCTCCCACCCCTAAATTATTTCTCCACTTTATTCAAGTTGGAAATAAAGTTGATGTGTTACTCAAACCCACAACAGTACAATCAGTCTGTAGATGCAGTTAAAAGCGTGCCTTGAATATATAACTCTAACTGTGGAACCTTACCCTAAGGGGGTTAACTCCTCCTGCATATGTGTAAAAAAGGCTGTTTGACTCCATGCATAGATCTTTCTACTGCGTCCCCAGTCCATCTTTGCTGATGGTACAGAGTTCTACTTGTCACTCTGCACAATGCTCAGTTTTCGTGTATTGCTAGAGAGTAGAGAGATTTTTTTTTATTTGGGGATGGTGGGGTGCATGTTTATCATCACAGGGCCAATCAGCGCTGTTCTCCACAGGTCAGGTTATGCAGCCTCATGGGACAGTCAGGAGTGAATGAAAAACTCCTCCTACATGAAGCTTTAAACCAGTACTCTGCTGGACATGATAGAAGTCGTTATGGAGCTGCTATATACTGCTGATGAGTATCACAAACAGGTATTTAGCAGTTTATAGGTGTTTCTCTAAATATCTAATTGCATTTACCATGTTGTGTTGTACTGTGCGGAGACCAGATACAGTGAAGTGCAGCGGGTCCGGGGGAGAGCGGATATAGCTGAGTGCAGGGTCTCCCGGGGAGAGCGGATATAGTGAATGCAGGGTCACCTGGGAGACCAGATATAGTGAATGCAGGGTCCGGGGAGTGAGCGGATATAGTGAATGCAGGGTCACGAGGGAGAGGGATATAGTGAATGCAGGGTCCGGGGAGACCAGATATAGTAAATGCAGGGTGCCGAGGAGAGAGGATATAGTGATAGATGCGGGGTCGGAGGGAGAGCGGATATAGTGAATGCCAGCGTGACCTGAGGAGGAGTGGATATAGTTGATATGCAGGGGTCCGGGGAGACCAGATATATGTGAATATGCAGGGTCCTGGGGAAAGCGAGGATATAGTGAATGCAGGGTCTGGGGGGAGAGCGGATATACTGATGCAGGGTCCGGGGAGACCAGATATAGTGAATGCAGGGTCCGGGGAGAGACCAGATATAGTGGGAATGCAGGGTCTGGGGAGACTCAGATATAGTGAATGCAGGGTCCGGGGAGAGCACGGATATAGTGAATGCAGGGTCCGGGGAGACCAGAAATAGTGAATGCAGGGTCCGGGGCACGACCAGATATAGAGTGAATGCGGGGTCCAGGGGAGACCAGATATAGTGAATGCAGGGGTCCAGGGAGACCGGATATAGTCGAATGCAGGGTTCCAGGGAGAGCGGATATAGTGGAATGCGGGGTCCGGCGGTGAGACCAGATATAGTGAATGCAGGGTCCGGGGAGAGCGGGATATAGTGAATGCAGGGGTCCAGGGAGAGCGTGATATAGTCGAATGCAGGGTCATCCGGGGAGACAGGATATAGTGAATGCCAGGGTCCGGGGGGAGAGCTCAGAGATATAGTGAGATTGCAGGGTCCGTCCGGGGGTAGAGTGGATATAGTGAATGCAGGGTCTGGGGAGACCAGATATAGTGACATGCAGGGTCCTGGGAGACCAGATATAGTGAATGCAGGGTCCGGGGTGGGGAGGAGTGGATATAGTGAATGCAGGGTCCAGGGAGACCAGATATAGTGAATGCAGGGTCCAGGGAGACCAGATATTGTAGTGAATGCAGGGTCCAGGGAAGACCAGATATAGTGAATGCCAAGGGTCAGGGAGACCAGATATAGTGAATGCAGGGTACCGAGCGAGAGCGGATCCAAGGACGGCTATAGTGATATTCAGGGTTGACTGTACCTGAGGCGTTATTTATAGTGTGAACTGAGCCTAAAGGTTAGTATAGGTAGCAGGGCACAACAATAAAGCAAGAGCAAGACCACCAAAATGGACATAATTGTTAATGTCATAACGCACCTCTCACGGACTCACTTGTACAAGTGTGGATACATAAACCCAGGGGACAGCATACTAAACATATGATAGGTGTGACAAGAAACACGGCCTATCTGAAAAAGAAGGTTTCTAAAAGATCCACGCGGAAGGAATAGTTTTTAGAGTAGTATGAATTCAAATGAATTTATCAATTACTTTATTTGATCACATAGATCATGGGGAGGTTAAACATGAGCACGGCGGTGTACATATGAAAAAAAATAAAATCATGTTTAAAAACACTTAGGCGTCTTCAATTTAGGGTCATCATAGCCAACAGAGCACAATATAAGGCAGACGCAGTAGTGTAATGATGGAATAGTTATCCTGGATTCCGTCTTAGGTTTCCTGCTTAATATTTGTGTGAACCGTATATTCAGTGGGTGTGTTTCCCAGTATATGTCAGGACCCTCCTGGAATGTACAAGCTGGAACACTCAAAAATACATGGTATGTATCTGTAGCAATATGGAAACCAAAATCAAATCTCCAAAAATTTACCAGGCCTCACCTCCACAATAGTCAATGGATACTGCTGTTACCTTCTCAGAGGTTGAGACTATCATAACCCGCCTCTCAAATGTAGGGACTTCCTGGGGATAGCCCCCAAATGGAACAAGGTCCACAGTTACCAAATGATTCTGAAGGACTATTACATAGAAAAGATAATAATATGTGTAGTATCATGGGCATCAGGTAACCCCGGAAAAAACAAAAACACATAGAGATGTGGATATATTACCATCAATGAGGATTCAAGATGATCCTGTCGAACTTGAACTAAGATCAGGTCCTTGATGCTTTTCCATAAATGCATATGGGGGTGATGGGGACCAGGTATACGCCCGATGTACGTGGATTTTTCAAACACATATAGTGTGTATATAGCATATAGCAGGCCGTAGATACCTGAATTTAATATACCCAGTAAAGGGTTTCCAAAAATTGCTCAATTTGAGAAGGTTATTTGCGGTTTTATAAGGACTGTGGCTATGTCACAGCAAAAAAAAATACCTGAAAATAGGGATTAGCGGTATATATATATATATATATATATATGTAGATTCTCCTCCTGAGAGGATTTCACAAAAATTCCCCGAGTTTACAGGGTAAATTAGGCCATACAACATGCCCTGCATGAACACCATGTAAGGCTCTGTAAATCTCAACAAGCCGTAAGCTTTTAAATAACTCTTGACGCACCGGTGGAAGATATGTTTCCCTGAGGGATTGCACGTTTGCGAACCGCTGTGATAATAGCCCACTGGTAGTTCCTCAAAAGGTCTTGGGCTACCATTAACAGGGAGCTTTGTGACACCGCCGTTCCTTCCCGCCTAGTGGGCGCCGCACCTGTGGAAGACGCCGAGCGTTGTCAAGTGACGGTCAATACGTTGACGTCAGTTTCGTCCGCCAATCACCGCAGACTTCGTTCAGAACTGGGATGGGATTCCAATCATTTGCCTTATATGGTGCACTAATTGATACCAAAAAAGTCTCCACCTCGCCATCTTGTGTTGAAAGAATGAGAATATCACTACATTGGGAATATCCAAAGTGAATTAAAACATATATCTTGAATTTTTAAAATGATTGCTGGATGTGGAAGAGGAGCCTAATTTACTATGGATCAAAATCATCTTCCAAGAGAAAATTGATAAACAGGAGATTACTTATTAGCATATTTTTCACTTTCACCATAGGGAAACATCAAAACCAAGTCCAGCTACCAAAGATTTCAAAACAGTCTATTGTTCTATATGCTCACCCACCCTAATAAGAGTAGAAAGATTGAACAATTAGATCATATTTTGTCCACAGAGGCCCATATTTAGTTCATATATAAGGTATCGCAATGTAGATTATAACTCAGGGTATATAGAGGAGTTCAAGGGAATTTATTTCAAAACACACCAAAGTTAAGTTTCGTGTTTAAGTCCAGATGGGGACAAGGTGCCACCTAGGGACTATAAATCCAGAATTTTTCTTTTTGTAGGAGGACTTTATCAAAATCCACCACAGGACGAGCCGAAATATTCAGCAGAAAGATCCCTCGTCAACCACCGGGACGCACTCCTATCATAGTATACTGCTATTGGGTGGCCCTTTGGATATCCTATAGGTAAAATTTGGAGACGAACTTGATCTAGGATATTGGTCTTGGAGGCTCATTCTCTTATGTAAGGAGATACGGGGGGGATGTACTTAAAAAAGATTCTAAATGTAAAAGTACCAGAAGGTGCACTCCGTGGTGGCGCATCGATGTGGAATCCACTGTTATAAACCTCCTCAATCACACACGGTTGGGGACAAAAAAGCGGTGTGGCCCATTTTTCGTCGATATATATTTTCCTGGAAATTGGAGGCTCCCCATGAGGAATTTATATTTGGACTTTGCTTGAGTTTATGTTGAACCCATAAAACTGTTTTCAGGTTTCTGGGCTCTTCTTCTATCAGCAAAATATGTGGGTACCTCCAGGGGGAGGCACCTTGGGCCCCGGCATTCGCATTGTCTTACATCTAGGTATGGTGGGAAGAGGCGCTAGTATAATTCTCGCCACTCCCTATAAAAACAATATGCAAATAACCTGGTTCGCGATACATTGTTGATGTCCTAATGGTAATGGGATGGACCGGTATGGTATGTGCCTTAAAAGCATTTATGGATTTATCTTGAACAATGAATTGATAGAAATATACCATACTTACTTATACAGTGGATAGAGACGGTGATAACGTTTTTGGGATTTGTCATTCTTCTGTCCACGGATTATAAAACTGGTCACTTAAAAAACATTTAGAAAGGAAACAGCGCGGCCCAAATACACTTCTACATGCTAATAGACTACCATCCAAAGTGTCTAAAACTGGGGAATCCCTTATTGGTCAGTTCCAAGAGATAAAAAGAAACTGCTACAGAAGAATTAGACATATAGTCATGAAAATCTACTCCAGCCTCTTACTAAAAGGTTCAGAGAGAGGGGCTATTCACATAGAACCCTAAGAAGAGCAAAAAAGAAGAGCCGCTCGGTAAAATCAAGAGAGGAAACTAATTAATAAATCAAAAACCAAAGGCAGCTGCGAATACTGAAAACCAACCGGTAAGATTCATTAACTAAATTCGGACAACAATGGCGGATGAAGTCAAGAAGGCCCTGGGGACTTCGTCCATTTGGCATTTACTAATTCAAAAATCCCGGCAGATAGCGAAAGTGGTAGGAGAGAGCCCCCATATGGTGGCAAAACGAACTCGGGAATCTTAAATGATATATTAGTACAATCAGAATTTCAGGAGGGTACCACAGAGAAAACTGGCTAACTAGGAGACTGTTGTATATGGTATGTTTTCCATGTGGTTCATTGTCAGATTTGTTCCCATTTGTACTTAAGTCTAATCAGATTCTTCACAATGATAACTCTAGGATATTTCAATACGAAGCTTCATTAACTGTTACTAGTAGTAAAATGATATACATGATAGAATGGGCCCATTTTTTTTTGTTAAAAAAAGAGTAAAAAAGATTTATATTAGGTAAAACCAAAAGAAGCCTTAGGACTAGGATTGGTGTAACATCTGAGAGACATTAGAAATGAAAATAGGAATGTAAGAAAGGAGAGAAAGAGTGAACCCATTGCGCAACACTGTAAAAGTCCAATGGTACAAGATCGGTCGGGCAAAACATCAGATGGGTTCTAAAGTAAAAGGGATTCTTTCTGCTGAATATTTCGGCTCGCCGGGGTGATTTTGATAAAGTCCTATCTACAAAAAGAAAAAAAATTCTGGATTTATAAACCCCTAGGGGCAACTTGTCCTCCATCTGGAACTAAAACACAGAACTTAACACTTGGGGTAGTTTTTGAAATAAATTCCCTTGAACTCTCTATATATACCTGTCTGAGTTATAATTACATTGCGATAACCTTAAATATTGACACTAAATATGGGCCTCTGTGGACAAAAATATGAATCGTAATATGTTCAATTTTTCTACTCTTCATTTAGGTGGTGAGCATATAGCAAAACAATAGGACTGTTTTTTGAAATCTTGGTAGCTGGACTTGGTTTTGATGTTTTTCCCTATGTGAAAAGTGAAAAATGCTAATAATAACTATCTCCTGTTTATCATTCTCTATGGAGATGATTTGATCCATAGTAATTAGGCTCCTCTTCCACATCCGTGCATTCATTTTAAAAATTCAGATCGATATATGTTTTAATTCACAAGTTTGGATATTCCCATGTAGTGATATTCTTTCAACACAGATGGCGAGGTGGAGACTTTTTGGTATGCAATTAGTGCACCATATAAGGCAAAGGATTGAAAGTCCATCCAGTTCTGACGAAGTCTTGCGGTGATTGGCGGACGAAACGCGTCAACGTATTGATCGTCACTACGCTCGGCGTCTTCACAGGGTGCGGCGCCCACGAGGCGGGAAGGAACGGCGGTGTCACAGCTCCCTGTTAGGTAGGAACCCAAGACCTTTTGAGAACTACCAGTGGGCTATTATCACAGCGGTTCGCAAAACGGCAATCCCTCAGGGAAACTACTCTTCCATCCCGGTGGCAAGTTATTTAAAAAGCTTTAAGCTGTTGAGATTTACAGAGCCTACATGGTGTTCATAGGCATGTTGTATGGGCCTAATTTACCCTGTATACTCGGGGAATTTTTTGGAAGGAAATCCTCTCAGGAGGAGAATCTATCTAACATATATTAATATATAATACGCTATCCTATTCAGGTAGTAAATTTTTTGCTGTGACATAGCCACATCCTTATAAACCGCAAATAACCTTCTCAAATTGGAGCAATTTTTGAGTGAAACCCTTTACTGGGTATATTAAATTCAGGTATCTAGAACGTCCTGCTATATGCTATATACACACTATATGTGTTTGAAATCCACAGCATCGTGTATACCTGGT